CGTGCCAGCTTTTCTCCCGAAAGCTAAAAAACGCCGCTCATTCAGATGATTCGAAGCCGTATTCGGATACAATGCGATAAAAAGAGTGAGAAAATTCGGAAAAAGTTGAAACTAAAAATTGCCGAAACACAGCCTTGAATGTGCTTCCAGTTTCAAGTCGAGTAGTAGCGACTGTGAGTATATTAGTCAAAAAGTATTCATTGCTGGTTTCCTTGTGCTTTCATTTTCTTTCGACGCAAAAACGTTCAGAAAGAGGCGCACAACAGACAGCGAAGGCAGATTTGGAATCAGCGCATAAGCCTTCGAAACTACTCGGATTTCGAAAGGCTACTCTACTTTGTGTAAATGACACCTGTTAGAAACAAATATGAGATGGGTGCAGCAACCTTTATGTGCGTCTTGAGTACTCAACTATTTTGGTCTTCACTTCCTGAGTATTCAGTGTTGCAATCTTCGCACTCACATGTCACTTGAATCCAGCTAATATAATTTTCGTTAAGCTCCGAATTCTATTACATCTGGTTAGCCGACGTATTGGTTCTCGCAAAGGTTTTATCCGTTTTTTCAAACCAATATAAAATCACGCACCATAAAGACTTTAATGAGTTTCAACATGCATTCGATGCAGCTTTTCCTTCTCTTCCTTATGGGTACATTCAAACCACAGTCTTATAAGCTTTTTTTGATAAGTGCCAAAATTCTTCCCGTCAATTTTATGTGCTCAAAGTTAGGCTAATTTCTAAAAATTCCATTCCAAAGTTCCGGAAAGGGTAAAGTATGGGTCAAATAGAGCAATTCTTGGCTACAAGGTGATATTTTTAAATCCTCCTAATCTGCTGATTTTAGAACAAGGAACTATTTCTTCGGAAGTATTTTTGGCAAAGTCATGAAACACGGAACTGCAGCAAATACACGAAAGCTTCTGACGTTTGTGCATTAGAAACATGATTTTTATTGAACATTATTTATGCAACATAACCAAGTTTGATTTGCTTCGAAAAAGCAGCTTTTTGGGATTTGGTACTCTTACGTGGTAAACGTAATCAAAAAACGCGGCTTTTATTGAATAAATAGTTACAACGGAAAATGGGTACAATGTAGCCAGAGTCTGTTCTACGTAACAGTTACCAGCGCTCTTTGAAAACATCAAGATAGAAATTTTCAAAATTCAGGGAAGATTTGGAGTTACTGCAGAGCTGCTTAAAAAGCCATGGTGATAACATTGCAAAGAAGGTAGACCAGAGAGCAAATATAGCTGTAAGAAAGAGGATAAAAGTCTAAATCAAATTGTACCTGAATCGTCCATGGATTGGTGTTCTGTGAGTTTTAGTGAGCGATGAAATAAACGGACAAAACTTTCGGGACGCCTAATATCTGATTAATCACCATCATCGTATGCATAAACGACAAGAACGTAATACAAAAGTGCACGATCCTGAAGAGCGGTCGTTCTCATCCTTCAGGACGATGCAACCGCAAAGTAATGATAACTATCACAAATTGAACTGTTTTAGGAAAATGCAGTACCCAAGTTGGCACAAGGATTGGTTTGAGCAAATCAAATCTTAAAGCAAATTTTATTTTAGTTTGGTAGGTCAGGTAGGGATACGCTGCGCATGTGCAATAACATGACCTGCTGAGCGTGCATACGCCAATTGGAGGTTTATGTAGTGCATTTGCGGTGCCAGCAACACCCTCACAAACCGCCATGTTGTAACTCAATTTGGGCATTCAAAGTGGCAGTAGTGCGCAAATTTTGCGTTTCACATCTGTAGCAATTTTCTTCTCGCTCAAGTGCTGTAAGTACACCAGATATATGAATCGTTAGATTTACTAACGTGTATCGCATGTGATGTTGCACTATTATACTGTATGTCAGTTTGGGATATCAGAGAAGATTCATTACCTTTAATAGACTCACAAGGGAAGGAAGGTTGGTCGAAGTGGCCTTTTGAAATGAGATATATACTGTCTCGTAGAGCTTGGAACGCTGATTTAAAAAATGCTTTCGCTATCTGCTGCGGGCTTCTGGGCAAGGAGTTATGAAGGTTCTTGGGAGTAAAAAGTTAATTGTAAAATTAGTGTAAAATCAGTCGTAACATTTTTCCTAGGGCTTAACTAATAGTCAGGTCATTCGGTGCAACAAATATTCTTGATTCGAATATGCCAACTCGCTGCTGCTCCACTTGAACGTCAGAAAAAGGTTACAACTGAATTTTATCCTAATCTTGCGCTTGAATTTTTACTCACAAAAACCTACATTACTTCTCGTCCAGAAGCCCGCAGCAAATAGCAAAGGTAGATTTGGAATCAGCGTTCCAAGCTCTACAAGACAGTATACATCTCATTTCAAAAGGCCACTTCGACCAACCTTCCTTCCCTTGTCAGACAAAAATTCGGCCAAGCGGCCCGCGAGCTGAGGTATTTGGCCAAGCGGGCACATATAGCGGAAGAGCGCCAGACTCGGCGGATGGACGGAGAGCGAGCGGGCAGGCATAAGAGATGCCGCACATGTCCGTACGTGCGGCCGCTCGTGCGGTTAAGGGGAAAACCCAATTCCGGACCTGCGCCCAGGGCGAATGAAGCCCGCAGAGAATGCGAGAGTGTTCTAATTGCGAGAACTTTTTCTTTCCTTACACTAACTTTTTTCATTCTCCTTTGTATCCACTTTCTTTTTTAGATCTCTTCTGCTCACTCTTGAATGCTTCAGTCAATGTTAATATATTGGCGCTTTCTTTATACAACTTTCGAACTAAGTAGTGCATTTTTATAAAAAGTAAGTGCTGTGAGTAGCAGAACCGCTTATTTTCAAAGAAACATGCTTACTAAGTTTCGGCTACTCATCCTATCTTTATTGTAGTCGCTGCGTGCTTAGAAGCCATTGGCATTCTCCATCATTTCTGGGTTTAGTATAGATTCCTTCTTCCAACGTATTTCCCACACAACAGGATCCAAAAAAGTTTGCTCAGATGGGCCAATTGGGGAGTTAATTAAGTATATCATAATAACTTTTCTTGAGAGCGCCACTAATATTAGGGTGGTTGTACGGATCAAAATCAAATTGCTGAAAGTAATTCTTCTTGCAAAAAGCTCACGTACTATTAAATAAGCCTACCCTTGATCTCAACTCGTATTTCAAGACATATGGGTTGAGATCAAGGGTACATAATTTCAAGCTTACTCAGCTTTCAAGGGTACCTTCATCCATGCGTATCCTCGGTTTTTGCAAAGAAGTTCAATTACAATAAGCTGCGCTAGGAGCAGATACTTGTGATAAAGTAGTTTCTTCCTCCATCTTCTGTGACGGGGTGCACCTATTTGTCTGTCTTTTTTCAAAGTAGAGTTTGTTACCACTTGGCACTTTTAGTTGTGGTCATTTCTTGCAGTTCAGTGACTGAGCTCATCGTCATCAAAAATCGGGATCCGCTGCCGCCCAATCAACAGCAGCTTCTATTTATCCACGTCGTCTACATCAAAAGCAGTATGTTAATTGATAAAAAAGAATATGATGTGAAGAAGATGTATACTTCAGCGACATTTATAATGTATTCTAAAAATAGCTTGATTGTTCTTTGGTTTTATTCCTTATACGCACTCGAACTCAGAAAGTGTCAATATGGCAAAAGCAACGGACATAAAGAATGCTCCGAGGAGCTGATTCTGCTCAGCCGGTGTTGCTCGGCAGATGCTCGGCTTCTGTGCGACAGGACGAGCGCGTAGCAATGACACAGCAGAAAGGACAGTCCGACAACACTAAATGCCTACTCACTGTGTTTGCGGACCGCTGGGCTGCTGGGCCAGAAAATTGTCTGAGAAATTTCCGAGTGTGAAATACATAGAGGAGCTGATTTGCAAGCTGCAGAGAGTGCTTCAATGCATATTTTGAGCAACATTCGGATATTGTGGACTTTGATAAAGAATGCGTCATGTCTCAAGTTTTCCGAAAATTATTTCTAGCTTTCAGGACTCGAGCTCAGTTACTTTCCAAAAAAGATGGGTCACGAAGCGATTTAAAGAGTATTGGATGAAAATATTAGAAACTGCAGGAAAAATTGGTTTTTAGCTCTGCCATGTGTTTAAGGTTAAGGTAATTAAAAATAAAAGTAATTCAGTTTATTTATAATTTTGATTTTTTTCCGAGAACGGCCTCGTTTTCCACTTTATTCTCCAGCAGTGACAATTACCGTCGGAGCTGTACTCTATAAGATGGTTGTAGCAAAAAAACACCTTTATGAAAAAAATCAGAAGGTGATTTTTCTCATCGTGCTCCCATTGAACGTTTTCAACCTTCCGAGGAGGAAGAAGGAGTCAAAATTTCTGGTCTTAATTGGCATAATGAAGACCATATAAAGAGTTCTGTGGTTTGGAACATCCGAAAGTTATTTTCTCTCCCCAATGCATCTATTATTGACAAGAAATTCCACTTTTTTCTTTCGAAACAATGACCATTCCCTTGAGAATTCTATCACCTGTAAACATTGTCAGGCAGCAGAACAATGATCGCATCAGGCTGATGCCCTCAACTTAGTGTTTTCTCGAACAAGGTTTTCTTGCAGCACGAACCAGTTTTATAACCAGGAAAAGTGAGACGAAACCAGCCCTGGTCCACCTGGCAAAAGTTGATACTGTCACCATTACTATATAAATCAATTAATATACCAATGTTGTAACGCGGTTTTTCAAGAGTTCTTGACCGCTTTACATCTGCTAGTTAAAAGCAGCGTAAACGTAGATTTTTGGCCGTATAATAATTTTGCTTACAAGCTGATGCTCTGGTAAACAAAGTTCTGAACATCTTGCGCTCTTCTTCTTCTACTCCCAAAAAAATCTTCTCCAATAAATTCTTCTTGCCCTCTCCCTTCTGGCTAATAATTGATATTCTATTTTTAACAGCTTCTTACTCAGTAAAAATTTGGCCAATTGTAGATTGTGTTTGCATAGACTATATTCAACTTTTATATATCACCTCGACTTTGATTACCTGTATAAAAGTTTCTAGCATGATGACTCGGAAAATCTTGCTGACAATAGCATTCATAGCAAGCGCCTCAACACTCAACTTCACTATGAAAACTATCAGTTCACATTCACTCAGCAGAGAGCAACTTGAGTGAGTTTTGAGCAAATTCGGTTATTTCTACACTTATAAGAGTTTATTAAAATGTAAGATGTTTGTCCAGTCTCATTAGCAGTTCCAGTATCAAATATATATGTCGCACCAATATTCTCATATTTTGAACCCTTTATTATGGTCACGTCCTGAGAAAAATATTGAGTGGACTCTTGTGCTTGTTGAAAATGAAGATAGTCACGATCTTAGATTGTTACATAAGCCTTGTTACAATTAACGGAAAAAACCACAAAAAATTTCTCCCCCTTTCCAGCTAATAATGTTCCGAATTTTCGATATAAACTTGTTGACATAAAAAATACAGTTTTTAAATGCTTCGCAGATTTTTCAAATTGTTTTTCAAATTTCTATGCTTTGTTGAAGAGAACATCCAGACTGCTTTATATCACTACTGGTGCTCCCAGAAGTTCATAGAAAATCCAAAAAAAAAATGAAAAATGATTGATAGAATTTCAGAAATTGAAGGAAGTCGAGTAAAGTGCAGTTGAAAATACACTTTTATATACTGTAGCGTATGTCACAAAGGCAAAAATGATGCCATTGGATAGCCCTTCATTTCTTCTCCATTTCTCTCCATGTATGCCAACTATGAGACTTTGCCGATTCTCTAGAATTTTCCATAGAATGGCGAAGGAAAGAAAACGCAAAAATTTTCTAGTGACCTATATATTATTTATTAAATGGCATATAATATGACTTAAGTGAGCATTTCTTTGTAGGTCTCACCTTCAACGTCGATTTATGTAATCGCTGAAACTCAATAGACAGCCATTTCTGGCTCTTTTTTGAGTTTTTAAAAGTTTGAATTTCTTGAACTCCAAATGTCTTCATAACGTCTGATCTCTCTCCTTGAAGATTAGATATCCGCTCTATTTAGGACATATCGGTGCTTATAAATCCGGTAATACAATTCTTTAGCGCATCACATACGCCATTTGTGTAAAAGCAGAGAATTTGTTACTGACCAGGAAATGGATAGAGATTATTGGGGAGCACTAAATTTTGAGTTTGAAATTTTTTAGAATTAGCACATATGCAAGCAAAGAGAGATAGCTTGCTTTCGTTCAGACGTGAAGTTGATAGCAATATGTTACTAAAGAACGCTCCCCTATCATTATTGAAAATCTTTCTTCTTTTGCATCTAGGCGTTAAGAGCATTGATCAAACTCCCCAAGAGAAGAAAGAGTTCGGAGATTGTTATGTTCGTGCAGTATCAGGTAATTCCAATAGCTTTTTCCTTTTTTTTGACCTGTCATAAAAACACGTAGAATAAAAATGGACAAACGTTTCAAAAACTAATCGAGGTAGTTCTTCCATCTTCTTGCTTTCTGGTGCTTTCTTTTACGAATATTGAGATAACTGCCGGAACAAACTCATGATTTTTACCATTCCGAATGTTTTTTCACTTCATTCGAAGTGGATGAGCTTTGTTGACAAAAGGATAGAGTAAACAAAGTGCAACACAATAAATTTCTTGCCCTCCTACTGGCTAATCATATTTTTCAAAATAAAATTCCAGAGGTGACCTTTGCTCATATCCTAAATACAAAAACCTCTATCTGAAAGAGGAAAAAAAGCTGAACTTAATAACACATATTGTCAGCATTTGAAAAAATAATCTGAGAAAATTTTCAAAAGCTAAGTGGATACGCTATAGAAATTTATTGCACTGCATTTTGTTTGCTCTAACCATTTGTTATCAAAGGTCGTCCACAAGTTCGAAATGAAAATTTGGAAAATTGCCAAATTAGAGAGTGATAAAAACCATGCGTTTGAATTCGGACGGATATCTTACTAACCACGGAAGAAAATAGCCTGAAGCGTAACTCCTGAAAAGAGGAAGAAAAGCTGCATCGAATGTTCTTTGAAATGTTTGCTCATGTCTATTCCACGTGTTCACGATAGGTCGAAAAACGAAATTCTTTCCGAACGACCTAGTATAATTCAAGTCCAAATAGATATTGTATGAGTATAATCCAAGCCTTCTGACTGGTCATGTCAGACCGCAATAGAAGACTTCCCTACGATTATTTTCTCTGACTTTCTCATTGCTTTGTTGCATTACTCGTATTAGGAAATATTTATTTCTAAACAGCACATCAAAGAACGATTGATAAACGCTAGGCTATAAGACGACCTTGCAACTAATAGATTCACATAGTCCACAGTCTTTGCGGTTATTGTGACTTACTTCTTCAACGCTGCATTTTTTGAAAAGAGCGTCCATGGAGACTGTTCGAAGATGTTCGTAGTTGACCCGAACACATCCAAGGTCATTGTTTTTTGTTTTATGTTCAAAATGTTGAATGAACTTCAGTTTCCTTGAATGTTCCTTGCACCCTTAAAATTGAACGCTCCAACAAGGCTGTTTAATTTTCAAACAATCAGCCTGAACTACGTGACTTTCAAATCTGTTCACCTAAAGAAACCAGTTCAACACTTTTTCTTTCATTATCGCCTCTTTGTAAAATAGGCCATTAGTGGATCATCATTTGAGACATGGTCGTTGAAAAAATCTAATGTCACCACATTGGTAGGTGTAGGTGTACGGGACAGAAGAGAGTTTGAAGAACAGCCAGCTCAACAACACTTTTGCGACTTACTTGCCTTGCTGAGCAAAAAATTAATATCACCATTAGGCAAGATCTCTAGATTTTTATCTGACATGACATTTACTTTTGAGGTTATCTAGTGAATTTGAACCTATTTTTGAACTTCGGTGAGAATTTGGCAATGACGAAATCTAGCAAAATCACAACTAAATTTAGTAAACGTATTTGTGTAATAGGGTGGAGAAAATGAGCGTATGCTACAACAGCATATTCTCCTTTTTGAACAAGATAGTCAATAAGTATTCTTCTTCAGACTACTGGAAGCAAATCTCACTCTGGTTTCTCACCAAAGAGCCCTGACAGTCGTCCTCATTTCAGCAGGCACTTAGTGGACATAAACCTAGTCTAGAGGAGGCCGGTTTTGATAAAGAGTAAACGTGACGTGATCTTCCGCAAACCGCCTGCTCCAGACTAAGTTCAAAATTGTCGACAATGTTTACCGAAATGAGGACGATTCTACCTAGAAAACCATTTCTTGGTGCAGTGCGGACTACAGACACTTTACATATTCGTCTCTGACTCCTCCTCCGATTTATGATGGTCCACTTACTGTGTTTTCATAGACGAGGTAATTATTAGAGGCCTAGGAACAATAGCAACCGGTTGGCGCGTTGTTAGACAAAATATCACGCGAGGTGTTAAATATCATGCGATCCATAATGATTTTTCTACAAACAAGGTTTCGTTAGAACATAAAGTTGCATGTCGTTTTGAGAAAACCTAGATCGGCATCTTCAGACATGGTTTGGCACGTGTTGAGTCTCAAAAATGAAAGCAACTTCCACTATGACTTTGCAAAGTTTTTGCGACGCACCTTTCGAGGTCCCGAAACTTCAGAATAATTCGCGGCAATCGGTGAATGGGTGGAAGCGAATTAGCAAGGAAAAATCAGACATAAGACAGGACAAGGCGAAAATATTAGGTTGTGTAATAAGTTCGTTCGCACTTTTTGCTATGATTTTTTCTCATTAATTTGCAAAGCATTTGGCAAAATTTTAGTGTGCGTTCGGAAGCTCTAAGTCTGCTCTATCAAACTCCTGTTATTGTATTTTCAATTCTTTCAAAGTTGAACAAAAAATTTGACAACATACCAAAAAAACTGAGTAGACAAAAATTTCATTTTTGACACCTTTTTTCCTTCTTGGTTTTCCCGTCATTCATTGTTGAAATTATTCAAAACGCTTGACAACGAAGAAAAACAATTGACCAATCATCTATGCACTCACTGAAACTGTTTACGATTGCCCACTTCCTTTCAACGACCGTTCAATGCAATTTTTGCAGAGTCGGCTTAGCAAGGCTTTGCCGCAGCGGTGTTCAATGTCTCGCGTACGTGTTCTCTGTGTCCCCCGAATTCTGGATTTTTGGCTATATAATCCATTTATTCGATGATTTAGCGATCATAGACCACATTGTCTTCCAGTTCCTGGATTGTTCGGCTACCATCTTTTCTCAAAGGTGCCTTCAGATGCTCAACTTCGACGCTAAAGAGACATAAAAAACCTACCTACTTTCGAGCCCACAGTCTGATTTTTTTGAAAGGTTTCAGCACTACAACTAAATTGCGGGAGCTACGGTATTATATTTTTACATGTTGCAAAATTTTTGAGCTGTTTCTTGAGCGCTCAATCCCATCCGAGACGCAGCGTAACATAGTTGTCGAAAATGGGTTTTTCGCCATTTCAGATTTTTCGGTTTGTAGTCAAATTTTTTATTCAACTTTTCAAAAACTGGGAATATAATGAAAGTATTTTGGTAGAGCAGACTTAGAGCTTCCGTATGCATACTAATCCTATGCCAAATGCTTTGTAAAATACTGAGAAAAAATTGGAACAAAAAAGGTGAACGAACTTATTGCACAACCTAATAATATCTTCCAAAAGCATACACGCAACAAAGGGGACGGAGCTCAAGAGGGCTTGGGTACTGATTGGATTATACGATGTAAAGCGAAATCTTCGAAGGTTGTGTAAAGGTGCCTTCAAACCAAATTGGCAGCCGTCGCAAGTCGCCTGCATCTTTCTTGTTTCTCACGTAAATCCAAAGTTGCTTAAAGGCACCGTCTACCCAAACTCTCGACTTGAAAAACCCGCTGCAACAAGCGCAGGCGAGGGAAAGCTTGCAAAGTACGCATGGCGACCAGCTGGGTGGAATGACCAGCTCCAGATTTGCTCCTTCCGGAGCGGATCTCGCTCAGAAGCAACTTTTGCGGCGCAAACTAGGGATTTGCTTAGTGTGGGCCCACATTAGTATGCCGCCATAATCTCATCAACCCTCATTTTGGGTAGACGGTGCCTTTGAGGGGGTAACCCATAGTTGAAAATGAACCGCTCTTGCTATCAGATATCTCTTGAAATAAGTGATGTGTCCATTAGAAATTATAGTAAGTCATTCCTTACTGTAATTCGTAATGGACACTCCACGCAGCTTCAGATTAAGCGGATTATTGTAAACCATAATATTGCAAAGCCTTTCCAAAACCCAAAAGCTATTCATAATTAGCATGTCGAATAACCCTGCTAGACCATTGAGCTAGATTCACGGCCCGCCAATTGCGCAAAAGCGGCTAGTGGTGAAATAAATTCATCCTAAGGAAGGAGGATATATGATTTTGTTTCATCGTGCTAGCAACGATCCAGTGATGCCTGTCATTCAGTTACGAATGTCTTATGCATGTCATGTAAAATCAGTTGCTGGCGCCTAGCTTTGAATTCCACGCGCCCGGCAGCTGGAGACGCTGGGTCCTGAAGCACAATAGGCTTGTCATAGGCGACGAGGGCGCAGCTTTTGATATTATTTACAGTCGCTTTTACTCCGGATCAAACGGAACATTCTACGTGGAGCAGCGCGTGCGCATCGCTGGAGGCTTCGCTAGCGCATGGCGCTGGCATTTTGCCAAACAAAGACTAAGGAGAATGAAGAGACACAGACTTGTGTTCTCAGCGCGATATGATATACTGTAGCTGCGGAGAAACGGCGCGAACCGTTGCGAGGCAGACTCCCGCCAATCCAATTGTTGCCTAAAGCGGGTCGAAACTTACTGGATGCATTCTCATATCAGGTTGCTACATAAGCTTTGAAGTTTTTCTTATAACTTTTGTCTTTTTGAATATGCTTCTCTTCTAAAATGCATTCCATTTTTGGTACTATAATGGGTATCACGTGAGCAACGCATATGAGAGTATGGTAAGGCTTTGAATGGAAAAGCAAGTGGGAATTGGCACGGATTTGAATAAAACTTGGTCTAGGGGGTTATGCGACATTATGACCACAAAAATGATATTCATTTTGCTTGAAAAGTCTATTTTGCTATAAAAAATTGAGTTGTAAGAAATCACTGGGCTAATTTTCAACCCTGACAGCAATTGAACATATATTCAAGTTTTCATGTCAAATTACCCATTGTGTAAAGTTTACAGAATCCGACGGTTTCGACCTTTTCCTTTAATGGGTTTCCGAGATGATGACGCATTCGGCTATTTCGAGTTCACGAGATCGCCTGATTTCGATTTGGCTTCATATTACAATTTTTCACTGGCTTAGTAACCAACCTTTGAGAAAATTTTGCCTACAGTTCCGTCTGAATCTGGATTCTTTTTTTGTATCTTCTTTTTTGTCAACCTCAAAGCTTTGATTTTTTGAACACCTTTAGGAAAATGCGTATATTTATTCCATTTTGCCATAAAAAAATCGGACGGTTTGCGAAGATTTATAGCTCACTTCCGAGTCTACAGAATGCCAAATTTCTTTGATGCGCCTCAAGAGAAAGAATTTAAACAAGGTTGCAAAATCTGTGTGCCAATGTGATAATATGAAAACCGTAATGATTTTTATAAGGCATCTTTGATAGGGAGATTACAAGTACTTCAAAATTGTTCCAATGACAAAGGTCCATGACTCATTCCCGCCACTATAGTATGTGCTCGAAGACTGCGAGTTTGGATGACTTCGCTGGACCCTCTTCTGAGTTCGGCTGGCTTGCTGGATCCTCCTCTGGCTTTCCGTGTAAGGATCACGCGATGGACAAGCCACGGTTTCTTCCACCGTGTTCTCCTGCTTTTCTATTCTTGGTCGTCAGTTGGTCAGAATTAGCTATTAGTCAACCGTTAGCGAGGGTTGAAGACAAAAGTGGCGCACCTCTTACTGAAGTAATTAACCTGGTTTTACAAGTACAAGACGTACCCGTTTTCCTTTCGACTCGCCTGAACACACCCCAAAGATGCGATCAATGTAACCTCTACAGCGCTGCTCTTCACCTGGAAGACTTGTGTGGAAGTAAGGCGCAATGATGCGGTCGAGCTGCTTGCATGAAAAAAAAAATGAAATGGTGCGTCTTGTACTTGTGAAATTAGGGTATGTAGACTTTTGAAGAAACTTTTGATTGAAACACACTTCACTATGAAAGCAACGCGAAATTGAATGTTTTAACTCTGTTAAAAAGAAACGCTATGGTGTGCAAGGCACGGCGAGGGCATTTAAGTTTTACATAGCGCCGGTACTTAGAGCTGACCTGTGTGTTTGTGTGTATAATACCTTACACAAAGCGTTGTGTTGTTTTATGCCATTTCATGTTCTAAGTACCAAACAATTCTTTTCTGAACGGATCCGGACCAAAGCACACTCACTTCGGGAAAGAGCGCGCGTCATAGGCAACTCTTCGTTGTCGATCGATGTTGATTTTATATTATTTTTGCAAATTTTGAGCTATGGGGCTGCTGGTTGGCACAGGAGGTGAGTATGCTGGTTGTACCTATAAAGATAGCCGGAAATAAAATAATGCTTTGGGAATGGATCTAAGCTAGAGCTCAACTTCAGTTCGCAAGGCATTAATCTATTTGTGGCTATCTTTATAATAGGAGTTTATCGCGAGCTGTTACGACATGTCTAAGATCACGATATACTCGTGATATAAAGTTAAACGGCTAATAGATCAATGGCTTGCGGAATGAAACTGACCTCGAGCTTGAGTTGCGACCTTGTACGTCATTTCCATGGTACTACGGCCCCTCTTGGCACTGTCATTTGATGTAGATGATCTTCATGCCAGAGATGTTTTGCACATTTTCGCTAGATCAAAGCTGCCGCAAATTTTGGAATCCAATGACAGCACATGTATGCAAGCGTGAAGAGTTTATAGCAGTTATTCAATTCATCCTAAGAGCTAGGCTAAGCGATGTAGCAGCTCCTCCACGCCCTCCTCCAGAAAATTTTTCGCGGTGCAATGAAGCGATTTTTGGATCTGATCTCCTCTACGTTGAGCCGGAGTACTAGGTGATAGGTGTGAAAATGTCGAAATAAAAGTTGCAACGCATATTAACTTGCTAACTAGCTACGCCCAGCGCTTTCGATAATTTAAAATGGTCACAAAGTTTCCAGCTCTTTCAGACAATCTGGAGCTCTCATTAACGCAGAACTCACTGAAAACGGATCCCAAGTCGCAGTGTCAAACTGGAATGAAATGCATATCGTTGGATATGTCTTGATGAGATAATTTCTAATTTACTTCCTATCTGCTTGAAAGGCGAGCGGTCTTATATTCGTCGAGCGCCTAAAGATTATAAGTTAAGGGCAGAATGCTTCAAAACAGCGCAAATATAATTGAAGGATGACATGAACTTACCTATGAACCGTAACCTGAACATCACGAGTCATAGAAACGGTTCAAATTAATTAAATGCTACTTACACAAAGTTCCGACATTTATTTTATGGTGTTGCTTTCATAAGACGTCAACAGAAAGAACGAAATCATAGCAAGTACAACTCAGCTTTTGAGCAACATTGATTTATTAAGCGCCCTTCGTCGTCATCCACAGATTGCGGCTTGGCGTCGAAGTAAACGGCAAGCTCCAGCTTGGACATTTCAACTCCTTCACGACTATTACGACGAATTCTATCTTGGCACCGTCACCTTTGGAAACCCAGGTCATTTGCTCACTTACGCTCTACACAAATTAATAAAAAAACACATTTTGATTAGGACAAGAGCTTTGGTTAGCAATGGATACTGGTTCTTCAATTATCTGGGTTATCGATGATGCATGTAACACTGCCGAGTGCAATGGTTACCCGAAGAGCGGTCTAAATAAAAGAAAATTTCGTAAAGACCTTTCGAGAACTTTTGCATCGATGAACAGATCCTTTATTATACACTACCACACGGGATGGACTAGCGGAATTGCTGCGCAAGACACAGTTCGTTTTGGTGGTGAGTTAGATACTAAGACTAGCGTTTGTTCTAGAATAAACTTTGAAGGCTACGCATTACTTAGTCAGCCTTTTGGAGTTGCCAATAAGCTTGCACCTTTTCTCGCACGGATACCTATCGAAGGAGTGTTCGGGCTGGGCTTGCCTTCCAAAACTGCTTCTGGCAATGTAAGTTCCATTTCCAATTTCAAAAAGAGATTTTACGGTGCACTTCAGCTGAGGTCTCCCATGGAAGCTCTTGTGCCATATCTCACTCTGAAGCTCATCACAGTTTGGATGAACAGAAAGGTTTGACTAAACGTACAAGCTCAGGATTGAAAAATCGGCTCAGCGATAAACAATCACGAATTGATAATGCATCTGCTAATGGTAAGGCTATGAGAAGGCAGTGTTGGAAGTTGACAATTCTTCTCCATGCATACGCAGTTCGCATTAAGACATGACTTTCCAAGTAATTCAGAGTTGTAAGTTCTTGATTAATCTTTTGAAGTCAGAGCCACAAGTAGCTTTTCTGGGGAGTAAGTGTCCAACTTGTACCTGGCATTTCGCAGTGAAAGCAAAGGCTGCAAAGATTGACGGAACAAAAAAAAGCAGTTTCTGACTTTTTTTCGAAGGTTTTATGAAGTGAGTGTCTCTGCCAGCTTTCCATTGCTAGTTCCGCGCTGCATACGCACGCGCGCTCGTTTTGCTGCCACTCTTCTCGATCATAAGTAGTAAAGCAAGTCTTAAAGTCGTATGCAAAAAATTGATTACAAAGAAAAAAGCAGACTTTTAAGTCTGCCCCGGAGATAACCCCATGAGAGAATAGCATATAATTTTTTATTTGTTTACGAATTTTACTTGAGCCAATTGATGTGTGTTTGAGATTTCCATTAATGAATGCATCTCAACTGCAATTAGTGTAAGGAAGAGCGGGCGAATTTTCTAATTTTCTTTTTTGATGAGCATCGTACGACGCAACAAAGCGAGGTAGTCACAGTCTCCCTAAACAGCAGTTGTTATAAGGACGAGCGAAATCAGAAATGTCTGAGACGCATTAACACTAACCAAAATTGGCCAAAACACTACTGTATGTATGAGAATCCTTGGAAAGATTTATATTGGAAACTCCAAACTCTAATCAAAAAGCAAAACCAAGACTCTATTCAAAAAATAAAAAACTTTTGATGCACTTACTTGCCTAATCTTAAGACTTTATCCTGCTTGTCTTTCAGAAACAATTCTAATGACAAAGTTTGCCAAAATGTAACAAGAAAACTTCTTGTATTAGCATTGATTCTGCTGAAGGGATTGGACACTACTTTAATCAGTTTTTATCAAATTGTGAAACCTATTCGCATATCCTTGTGTTCATATATTTTAGATTGAAATAAGTAAAGGAGGAGATGGTGGTTATATTACCTATGGTAAAATTGACGACGTAAATTGCCAGCAAACTTGGAATTACGTTCCTTTGTCATCGCAAACACATTGGAAGGTACCAATGCAAGGCTTTGCTATGAGTTCCTACCGCTATCGTCGGAATAATGACCAGGTAAGCATTACGATTTGACAATTGAATTTTATCACATTATACGTCAGGCTCTTGTCGACACTGGAAGTTCGTACATTAGTGTACCTAAAGCCGTTCTGGAAGCTATTGCGCGTTTCACTGGAGCAAGGTATAGCGCAATAAATGGTGTGTATACGGTGCCTTGCACCTCAATGTGGACATTACCCGACATTCTTTTCCAAATGAATGGTATCCAGTACAGCGTACCATCGGCTCAATATGTGATTGATATGGGTCTTGGTGATAGGGTTAGTTTCAGTTATTGAACGTAATAATATAGTGTTAAAGTATATTCACATTTCAGTGTGTGCTTGCCTTTTATCCTATAGATTACGACACCCATCTTGGAATCTCTTGGATTCTTGGGGCGCCCTTCATTCGAGCGTTTTGCACGATCTTTGACTATGGTCAGAGACAGCTTGGTTTCGCAGTATCGATTCCTCGTTAAGCAAACACCTGAGAAACGACTGTCAAGAAAGTGTCTAGAAAGGGAGCGTCCATAGAACTAGTGGAGGATAGCGATAATGAGTCGAACGACTATAAGAGGCTGCTGCTTAGACTTACTGCAGTTCCTTTGATTCAGCTTGATTGTGCTATGTGACACTAACATTATGCTGGAGCATAAGAACCGCTCAAAAATCGAATCTCTGAAAATGCAATATTATCTAAACTTATGTTGAAATGAAGTCAACGACATTTAAAACCAAGCAACTGAGGTGTCTAATTTTTATGCTATAAGGCTGTCCCGAAAGTTTTGTCGGTTTTTTCAAACCATTGTAAAACCACGCACAATGAAGATTTGAGTGAGTTTTAAGTGCATTAGATGCAGCTTTTTCTTCTCTTTCTTATGGGTGCACTTTCATACCATAATCTTGTATGCTTTTTTTGATAATTGCTAAAATTCTCCACTGTCAATTTTACCTGCTCAAAGTTGAGCTAATTTTCAAAAATTTCATTACAAAGTTTCGAAAAAGACTAAGTATAGGTCAAATAGAGCAACTCTCGGGCTACAAGTTCATATTTTTAGATTCTCTTAATCTGCTGATTTTAACTTCAAAAAATTATTTCTCCGGAGGCCTTGGTTTTTAGCAAAGCCATGAAACGCGCAATTGCAGTAAAAGCACGAAAGCTTTTGAATTTTTGCGAATTCAAACTTGTTTGTTATTTAACATCATTTATGCAACATAACCAAGTTTGATTTGCTTCAAAATCAGCTTTTTGGAATTTTCGGTAATTTTACGTGATAAAACGTGTTCAAAAAGCCGCGGTTTTTCTCAAATAAATAATTATTACGGACATTATAAACGTGGCCCACGTAATCTAAAAGGGGTACAATGTAGCCAAAGGTTTGCCCTATATAACATTCATTAGCGCTCAACGAAAATATCAAGATAAAAATTTCGAAAATTCAGGAAAGTTTTGGCGCTACTGCTGAGGTGCTCAAAAAGCCATGGCGATAACGTCGTAAAGACGGGTTAGATCAGGGAACAAATATAGCTATAAGAAAGAGGATACAAAAATGAATGAATGACACCTAGGCCGTCCATGGATTGGTGTTCTGTGAGGTTTGGCGAGCTATGAAAAACCGACAAAACTTTCGGGACAACCTAATATTATGACTACTTCTATGTATCAGATGTTAATCGTTCTCCTAACATGATATATAAGTTGAGACATAAAGAAGAATAATTGGCACGCATATGTAAAGCAATCGATTCAAAGCATAACACTGAGTCATTTGCAACTTGCTTTTACATGGATGACTTATGAGAGTGAAATGCTTATCCAGTGATCTCATTGTATTCCTGTTTTTTTTTGTTTGCTTGGATAATTGGTAGCACAGATTTCTACAATTTGTTGTTCTAAAAAGGTTTCACACTCAGATCTACCAAAAAGGTTGCCTTCAATTACAGCATATTGCTCACATATCAAAAAAAAATGACTCGATAATATCATTTCGTTCAGTAACTGAGGTTGGTGCTGATTGTGAGAAAAAGGCTTAAAAGTGTCTTTTGAAATTCAGTTCTTACGGAAATTTTACATCATCTGAAAGCACAAAAAGGAGAAGTCCACGATTTTTGTTGCTACATTACCTCATCTTTTGGAACTGAAGTTTGATGAGAAAAGATCAAGGTACTCAGACAGTCGAAGGGATACCACCGGCGGGCAAATGGCGCGAGTCTGCCACTTCGCGCTCTGGAGCGCTGCGGAGCCCTGCCATTTCAGTGCTCCGGGGCTATTCCAAATCTGGCCCACCTCTGGAGAAGAGATTTGCGCGTCCCGGAGAGGGGTCCCATTCGTTCACGGTGACGTCACAGTATCCCTTTCTGTCTGATTATGAAATAACATAAAGCATTGAAGAAGCATATTTAATTATTCAACTTGGGCACATGAAAAGGACAAAATACAGGGTATCCCAAAAAAGTGCGCTCACTGTTTGATCGTTAATATATTGTCATGAACTCCGAAAAGCTTTAAGTACCGATTGTAGAGCTAGGTTAAACTTATACTATTCACAATGGAGCGAGTCACCGATCCTCTTCAATATTGTAAGAATACGGTAAGAACTTTCGGCACATGGCGTCATGAAAAAGCTGCAGTTTCTAATTCCAAAAAGTTCTATAAGCTTGTGCGATTGTTTTTTGAGGTTTCGTTTAGTATTCAACTTTGTATGAGATTGTGAAGCTTTCTAAACGGGTAACCACTTCTTTAGGAACATTGAAATAATACTTCCACTGCTTACCTGGCATTAGTTATTGCGGAAGCATTGTAATGAGATGCAATTTCATATTCAAAATCAGCAACTCTATTAGGTTGTTCCATAAATTCATTCTTGAATTTTCGCTGTGATAAGTCATACACTTCTGTTTTGGATAGACAACAAGATACCGTGCGGTGAGCAAAGCAAAATCGATGCTCAAAAATTGAAAGTTTTTTTATATCTTTTTGAAAAAAAGTCCAGATCTTTCACTTGCTGAAGAACATACACCCTCCACATCAGTTCTCATATGAGCCGTTGCTGTATAGTTTCTTCAGCTAGAAACCAAGAAAACGAGAATTTTTATGCTCATACCAAAATGATGCTGTGCTGTTCTTACACTAGCAACAGTATACTATAAGCACTTATAGCACTTAGTACTCTATAAGCTCTGGTTTCCGAGAAATGTTGAGTCAAGCGTGAAAAATCCGAGTAAGATAAACTAAATTCGATGTTTCTCGGAAACTGTTTATAGAGAGCTAAAAATTTACGGTTGTACTTTTAAGAGCTTGTATTATAAACTGTTAGTGCAAGAACAGCACAGCAAAACTTTGGTAAAAACATAAAAACTTTTTCGTTGATATTTGGCTAATTAAAAATGCACAGCACATATGAGTGTCTGACTTGGAGTGTATATGCGTGAGCGAGTGAGAGATTTGTAGGATTTTCTGAACGGAGGTGGGAAAAATTTTCAATTTTCCGGGCATCCGGCACAGGCCACCTTACGTATCAGCCTTCATACGGGAAAGTGGAAGAATCTCAAGTCTGTAAGTGAAGATAGGTGAAATTCTTTTTATGTGCGTACCTCTCAAGACACAATGTGGACTACGAAGACGAGTAATGCAACCAGGCAGAAACGCTTGTTTGAAGTTGTGAAGAAGGCAATTTCCGAGCAATATCCACCTTCTTTAGAACACCTAAAGGACCTAAAGGTCTTAAGAACACCTAAATAAACTAAGAAATCACCTGGCGGTAAAACTATGAACTGTACCCATCGCATATTTTCTTGCAAACATATCCAATTTGCAAGCATAAGAAATTTGATTCTTTTGCCGAGAACGAATCTCTGAAGTATAGGCTACTTGATGGTGGCAGCCAAGTATGTCCGCGTATCCTTACATGGAAGCATTAGTACGTCAAAGTGGGAGGTTTTGAAGGAAACTCTGCAAAATCTCCCAAATTTTCTGTTCTCTCTCGCTTGCTTTGTTTACATGTCATACTGTGCTTTTTGCACTACTGTCAATGAAGGAACTTATTGTTAGATTTTTTCTTCTCGTTACCTTCCTTGCTTCAACTGTCTGACTTCAATGGTACAAAATAAATGCGACAATAAACTAGATAATGTTAATATGAGAAATTGCTGTGTGTGCTGCACCGTGCAAACTACTTCAGATTTTCATTGCGAAGTTCTGCTGAGTTCCTTGGAAATGTGCGGCAAGTTGAATATAGTGGTTGGTGGAAAAACTTCGACAGTAGAAGAATACTCCAAAAATCGCTGAAGGGGCAAACTTTTTTCGTTGGAAGGTTTCTACAGGTGATTGACTAATGTACAAAAATGGACTCAGTCGCAAGAGTGACTTGAATGGATTGTGAGACTCAACAGTGTCATCACCATACGAGATTATGACAAACCTACTGTTCCTATACTAACTTTCCTCGTTTTTTCTCATAAGGGGAGGTAGCTAACTAGCCTCGGCCTTCTCGGAAGTGACACACATATATGTATACTAGCTGGCTTACCTGGCTCAGCCGGCCCTGTCAAAACACTGTAATAAAGGTCCCATCAATATCCCTGTACAGCCTTTCCCTGTGCCCACTTCTACACTTCATTACCCGTTCCCTGTAGTGTTTTCGAAATCAGCATGCCCACTCACCCCCCCCTGTGCCAAGTCCCAGCCCTTCAACTCAAAACGTAAGCAGCATGCTCGATTACCCCCCTGTGCCAACTCCCAGCCCTTCAGCCCAAATTTTGAAAAAATCGATAAAATCGATAAAAGTAATGGGTAATACCAAAAACTAATATTGTATTCGGAATCCCCATGCTCACTTATCCCCTGTGCCAATTCCCAGCCCCGCAGCTCAGACTTTGCAACAAAAATCGCTAAAAATCGATAAAATAGATATCGATCGATGACCCGCCTGGCTCCGAATATGTGTGCGAAGTTGGTCCGCATCGATTCAGAAATGGAATTTTCTATTTCGGAACATACGTACAGGTAGACATACAGACAGACATACATACAGACAAACAGACATTCAGCTTTATATATAAGATACTAAATCAGCTTAAAACGCTGACTCCAATTATTCCCAGCGTGGCGCACCATCTTGAAGCGAGTTATGAGCATTTTATGTGTGATATGGGCATAATGCTTTTTAAGGAAGAGTGCGTGTACGTGAAAATTTGCCCGAAAAATGTGTTGAAATATCAAAATCAAAACAAATCGAATTTCTAATTGACAAGAACTTTGGGGCAACTGTACTAGCGCTTGAATGATGATGCGGTGATGCCAGTAAGACAATGAGTATGCCAATTTCACAAAGTAAAAGCTCATAACCTGTTCAAAATGGTGGACCGCAGCTAGGATTAGCATATTTAGAATCAGCGTTTTGAGTAATTAGTCTAGAGAAGTGTCTTTCGAAAAGGCCGAGCTAAGATAGGTACTTTCGCTTATGAGTAAAAACGTCGA